GCTGGTGCGGCGGTTGCGACAGCGGCTACTTCCCCGGCATAGAAGGCTCTGACCTTGTTGATACAGAGGCGGGCGATGTCGCGCAGCTTTGGCCTACTTAGACGCGGCGAAACCGCGACTGCGCCCGCGTTCTCGCTCGCGTTCATCTCGATGGTCGATAACACGGCTCCTTTTCCTCCGCAGCGGCCGACGGTGTCCTCGAGGACGAACAGCTCGGTCCTCGATTCGGGGAGAGACTCCTGTCCAGAGGCCGAGAAGACAGCCCAGGCTAAGCCGAGGATCCAGGACGGGGCTCATCGGGAACCGTGCCAAGACACCACCTAGAAGCGTGGTGGGAGATACACCTTGAAGGTATCGTTTGTACTTGCATCTACGTTAACGAGTTGTTGTTAACGCCTAAGAGTTCTAGGAATAGGGTGTCAACTACGAGTGCTACAGGTAGCCTTTTATCGCGGACGATTTCTAGATCCTCGTCTAGATGGATCCCCGTTTCGTATTAGAAGTGGTTATTGTTAATAGTATTACGTTCTTCGTCTGGGGAATGTTGACCAGCGTGTGTACGACCGTAGGGAAATAGCTGCAGGGGTTGTTGACTCTGAGCGTCTTTATACACCCCGGTTCTGTTGATCTTCGCACTCTTTGGATTTTAATCAAATTTTGACGGAGTTGAGTTTAGATGTTTACTCTGATTTAGTGATTTTTAAATGTGAAAATTTACAGTTTGACATTTTTTCAATATGATTATGTGACAATCTAGAAAATTTGAGAATATAGGAACTTGAAAATTTTTAGATATGTATCGAGTGCCAATATTGTTCTCCTTTTTGTATCCCCTAAACTTGCTCTCAGGATCGTGATCTCATCTAACCGATTACGAGTAGATTAATGTTCCAAAACGTAATTACATCTAAAATTGCGAGATACGTTGATAAAGCAGTTATCGCGCTCAAGTGGACAGTCGAGTGTGAAATATTTAATATTAATACCATGTCGAATATATGCACTCACCTGGACGGTAGAGTTGTCAGATCGGTCCAGATAGGCAGACGTGTCATTCAAGGTTACTTCTTTGCACGAGTGTCGATAACTGCTTGCGTCAGAATCGAGATGCGTGTTTACGTTTCCGTTCAGCCGGCGTCACGCTGTCTGCCAATTTCATTCGTACCACTCGTCACAACTTATATAGCCACGATTTTCTGTGAATCGTCCAACAATCGAACATCACTTGTTCAATCAATTCCGAAAGCACTCCCTTATTTATCGATTCCTTCACTCGAGAAGAATTCGAGGTTTGTGTAGCTTCGATCTTGCCTCTTTCTTTCGTTTTATCACCGTGAATTTCTGGGCGATTCTCCGATGTTCGCTTTTGGTGCATGGTACACAGTCAACACCGATCGTCGGTAACTGCCTTAATTCCCACGGTGATTCGGCAAAACGAAGACATAATTGGTCGTCTCTAGGATTATTGGAAGCGTATTTATAAAGGAATATGCTTGAGATATCGCACACGTAACGAGTGACAGCAAACTGATCCGGCATAAACACCGGGACGTTTTACACAAACGGACGAATCGCGCAAACTCGTGGAACCTTGAGGAGGGACGCGAGGCACGGGGTGTCTCGAAGGATTATCGATGTCTCGGTTTATACAATATTCATTAGACACCAATCGCTGTTTTATTGCAGTTATTGATATATTTTATGTGTACCGGGTGTCCCATCTGACTTTGCAACTTTCACTATTTTGCAATTTTAAGTTTTTACGGAGTCAAAACAAAGTTTCGTAATTCAGTTCAGGATTTCAATATTTTAATATGTGAGAGTTGCAAGGTTCATATTGCAAAAATTTGGGGCTTGAATGCTCGAAATTGTGAAGTCTTAAAATTTGAGAGGCCCAAACTTTCAAGTTCTAAAATTAAAAATCTCAAAATTAAAATTAAAGTCTCAAAGTCTTATTGAATCTCAAGGTTCAAAAATTTTTAAATCCCAAACTCCCAAAGTTCCAGATTCTCAAATCCCCAAAGCCTTACAGTCCCAAAGTTCCAAAGACCCCAGCTTCCAAAGTCTCAAAGTCCCAAATCTCACAGCCCCAAACTTAAAAAACTAAAAAATCATAAATTCGCAAGGTTCTAAACTATCAAAGTCCCTCACTCTAAAATATAAGTCTCCAAAGTTAAAAAGTTCAAAACTATAATCTTGGAAATGATAATCCAAGATGGCCGCCATAACCTAACTTCTCCCATGAAACGTAATTCCCTCCTAAGATAAATATACAGCTAAATATGCTATAAAATGCACTATGCAACATCAAGTAAAACATTGACTAAAAACATTTTTAAATATCAAATATATAAATATGCATATTTCTGTCAATTTTTCTTTTTCAGATGTGTATGGAAATCGAGCGCAATGTGGAAGAAGCGAAACGAGAACGTTGCAGAACAATACAATATGGAAACTGTATAAAATGTGAATTAATATTCTGTATTGTTTATTTGGTATTCATTTATGCGACGAGGTAGTAAGCAGCGAATTATTGTAAGGTACAATAAGCAAGGAATTGTAAATATTGTTTAATATCGTTGTTCGTTGCATATTGTTAAAATACGTTTTGTAAGCTTTAATAAATAAAATAAATACAGTATTGGGAAATATTCAAATACGGTTGATTTAGTATTATTCTTCCGCTAGGTGTCTACAGTGCTTCCGCCATGAGGTTTTGGCGGGATATTTAAACGAGATTTATTTAATGTAGGATTTGTTAATGAACCTAAGATTATTTATGTCGTATTATGATAATAGAATATTCTCCTCTTTCCCAAAAGGCATAAAAGTGAGTTATTTAGTCATAGAAAGCAATTTTCTGTTTAGTTAACTTCATCGTTCGCTGTCAGATGGCGGCAGTGACTCTGTTTTCGAAGCGCGCGAACTCGTACGAAATTCAAATACATGAAAATGTAGTTCGTTCAAGACTTTCTGAATTATTAATATTACTCTAATTAAATTTGTCTCAGATATGATTCTATGAATGTACTTGAGTATAAAAGATGTCCTGCAATGAAGACATCAAGTTTCCAAAAATATTAATTTTAAAATTCGAATGTAATGAACCACTCGTAAAATTACTTTGCATCCATAACTGTTATATTATATCAAGACTCTATTTTATATCAAATCTGAAGACCGGAAACAGTGCAGGAAGTAACACAATCAGAATGTCGTTTTATCGTTTATTTTATATCGCAACATAAAATTTGTACAAATAATAATTCGTAATAATATCGTAACTATAATGGACGATAATTGATATATATGTATGTGTGTCGATCGATATATATCAATTTCAGATTTGCACGCGACACGCGCATGGCCCGTGGCGTATAAACGCGTCGCGACGCTTCGAGCGTCGTTTTCGCGCGTACACGTGCGCCACACGCAAACAATCACTCCAACCGACGTTCAGTAAAACAGAGACGCGTTCGATATCGCAGAATATTCGCGTCGTGCGCGCGTTTTATTTCTCGCGAATGATTATGTTTGGTCGGTCGGTTTGTCGTTGAAAGAACAAAAACGGAAGAACGGAGATGTACCATCGTTTCCGGAGACGACGTGTCCTCGTCCAGTATCCGTTTCGATCGACTTTCGATTAACTGTCCACTCCGTTTAGTTAACCATTTAAGGGATTAAATCAATTTGATCAGTTCAAAAAATACTGTACGATCATCTGTTAATAGAATTTAAATTTTCCCGCTCTTTCTTCGCGCCAATTTCGTCCGCCATCTTTCTTTTCTATGCACTGCCATAATTAAGGGTATAAATTATTTGATTTAGCGATTTATTTTGTTGTTTTAAACAATTACTATGATCTCGAAGGTACTGGAAATTGTACAGATGTAAACTTTTATGCATAGGACTGAATTAATTTGAAAATTTCGATCAATGATGACTGTCACAGCTACGAGTACGTTGAATGAAAATATCTGTGTACCGTTGCTATACATTATTGTATATTGTACACTATTTTTTATACCGTCACCACGGTATATCTCCACTAGTTTTACTAAAAAAAAAGTTCTTGAAGCGTGGTATTTCACGAACTGATCAAGACGTTCCGATCCCTTAAACAAAGAGGCGCAAACGAATAAAAGTAATAAAAAGGAAAGAGTCAAGCAGAATATAAAAACTGATGTAACAACAGCGAATAAAGGAGACACCGTCCCGCGGTCGAAACAAAAGGTCGCCCGTTCTCCCGATTGATAAAAAAGAAATCATCTTCTCGTCGAAGAAATGAGATCACAAGTCGAAAGGAACGAACGCGTACGATCCGGCTGGTCCTTTTTCTTTCTCTGCTTCTCCTCTAGCGAATATTTTTATATATATATATATATTTATATAAGTCTACACGAATGAAACACGATTCGACGAACGACGGCAGTGCCGCGCGTTGGCTGAGCGGTACAAAAATAAGAACTTCAACGAAGGTCGCTACGTTTATGCGAGATTCCTAAACGCGCCGCGTTAATAATACTACAAAACTAAAGGACGCACGGTAGATGCGCGAGCCAAGAAATATCCTTTTACGTTAAAAGCGTAGCTATCGTTAGTTCCGGTTGATCAACGCGTAATCACGGGATTTGCATTCACTGCGACTCCATTACGTTCCATTACTGCCATGGTTCTCAAACTTTTTCAATTCACCCCTATCAGAGGGTGAACCCTTAAAAAAAAATAAAACTCTTAATCCATAGTAAAAAATTTCCCTTTTATAAAAATAAAAATTAAATAACAATTGTACTAGCTAATTTTATATGTAAATATAAAGGTTCGTTTAAACTAGGACGATTTAATACCTAAAAATAAATTTTGCCGTCTACATCGAATCAGTTCTGTTCGACATCCAAAGATAAGTCTAAGTAATCGTAATTCGATTCTAGCGTTCGATGTCATTTCTAGGGAAATATTGCTTATAATTCGACCAGTTTGAGAACCACCGCAGTTCCGAGGGATAGTTTCATCGACAGCAAACGCGAAAAGTGGGACCTGAAGCACACCAGGTCTTCTTCGCGGGTCCTTCTCCTCTCGTCGTTACGCGTCGAACGAAAAGAGAACGAGCTCATCGAATTCCCTGGAATCCCTCAAGCCCCAATCCGCGACCGCGTTCAAACTCGTTAAGTACTGATACGTTTACCGTTATTTACAACAGATGAACGCTCGAAAGTCCCACAGCCCAATCTCAACATGGCCATTACCCGACCAAGAACCTCGTCTTACCTGCGGTTTACTTTACATTCAACTTGGACCAATACGAAGTAAGACATTAGACAAATGATGTTACAATTTATCACAGCTATTTTAACGTTCCTGTTCTGTGTCGTAAGACAAGTACGATTCTCGGTCTTTGCATGACCCGTGGCGGCCATGTTACTCTCGAACGACTTATTGCTTACATTTCTAACAAGCAGAACTCCCGAGTATACTCTCAAATGTTTAACGAGGTTTTGCATGTTGATCGATTGTGTCACTACGAATTTCGGAGGTAGATTTAATGGCGTACATTGGGTCTTTAGTTTGAAAGATTGGTTAAGTTTTGAAATGCCTCGGGTAGCAACGATAGAAACGGTACAAGTTTCACCTAATTTCTGTCGCTATTTCTTTCACGTTAGATTAGGACATAGTTTCAGTCAAGTGTGATAACAATATAGAAGAGATATGAAAAATATAGAAAGTTCTAAGCGGACAATTATGACTGTGGTAGCATGAGGGACAAATATCTTTTAAGCTGCTAATTTACAAAATAACGTATGGCTTCACATATGGTCACATATAGGGCAGAATAGTAGTAACAAAAGCTATCGTCGCGCAAAAGCTCATTAAAATTTGAGGATCCTCGGAGAGTTCCCCTCGCGATCGCGCCTCGGGCGCAGTGGGTTTATGGTACATGTACAGAAGAGGGTGTTCCCGGGTCGCGAGTCCGGGATCACAATGGGGATCGCTCGTCGTTGAGAGTCGACGGCATCGTCCACGATATAAAAGTACAAAATGCGTGACGGGTCGCAGCTGGAACGCGAACCAGATTCCATTTAACGGGGCAAACTCGTGGCACGCTTTCAAGCTGCGGCGCTTCACGTGCGCGGTTTAATCTCTCGTCCTCGAAGTTATGGCCTCTTATGGCATCGCGTCAGCCTTTATGCGAGATTCATCAAGACTCGATCGTCCATCTTCGTCGCGAGTTACTTACAGGCTACCGTTAAATATAATACACATCGAACGATAATATCGGTCGGCGATAAACGAGTCGACTCCTTTTGTCGGCCAACGAATTCAACCGCTGCCTTGTACGTCTCCTTTCACAATTGTTCCGACAAAATGATCACTCGGAGCGTTTGGATCCCGTCGTTGTCTGCGAGTTCGTCCGCCCTTTCTGAGGATTCCCCGTCTTTCAGCGGGTTGCTCGTCGATCCGTGCTCGCAGCCCTCCGCCTCGGCCCTCTCTTCCTCCGGCAGGCAATCACCGACGTTTCCCTCCTCTTTCCCGCCCTTCTCGTTCTCCCGCATCGTCGACGACACCGTCGTCGTGGATGTGGTCGCGGTGGTCGTGGTGGCTCGGGTCGAAGGGAGACCTTCGCAGCCGGGGAACATTGTCGGCGATCGAACCGCGAAGGGGAAATTGCAACACGTCTCCGAGTACCGCGCGACGCTTTCTAACGCGTTGTTCCTCTCGTTCCTCGTCAGAGCGAACTGCGACAACCGCCCCAAACAACGTCCCCTGGACTCGCAACTTTCTTGAAACGGAAACGACGATCCGTACTCCGCTTGCAAATTCGAGGACTCGATCCCGTCCAGATGGCGCTCATAAGCGTTCAGCGTCGTAATGCCATGATCGTTGTATCGCGGTTCGAAGGTCGCCAACTGCAAGTGTCTCCCGCAGGAATCCAACGGGGAGCCGACTCTTTCCTGTCCAAGCATCGACGTCGCGGGGTCAACGACGAAGTTGGGTGATCCCGGCACGACGTTCGCGCGACTGACCTGTCCTGGGACCTCCGGCACAGGGTCCAGTTGACCGACGCACTCGAATCTTCGGGGAGACACCATTCCCGAGGCGGCGGAGAGGAAACGCGGTGATCGCAAGCCGCTTCTTAAACCGGGCGTCTCCGACTCCGTGATTCCCAGCAGCCCGGACTTGTCGATGCGTCGAACCGACGGTGACGCTCCGTCGGGATCATCGTAGGACCTCGCGTGGGGCTGAGAGCGCCGGTACATGTCGCCGGCGAACGGAAGCGAGTTAGCGTACGTCTCCCGATAGGAGAAGCGTACCGGGGGAGGGTAAGTCGGAGCGGTGGGATTTTCGGCGATGGTTATCGTCATCACAGCCGGCGTAGAGGTACACGTGACGACGGCGGACGTTTTGGACGTCGGTGGGGCATTGACGATCGTGTTC